TATCTGGGACAAAATAAATACTATAGAAGAGGGGCTTTCTGCTGTCTGATTCAGCAGGCAGTGTTTTTAATTGACTTTTGTAAATGAACAAGGTGATTTTGATAAATTTATTCTGACCTAGTTTCCTTGAATGGTATATCATAGATTCAGGTTTATTTGGGTTAAATGTGCTAATAGGATATAGTTTTTAAATTTTGCTGTTGAGTCATCTATACCTTTTAATACTTTAAATGTATCATATGTATGACCCTTATAAAGATGTTTGCTGTAATACTGTTAGGAGACTTTGCCTATGGATATTGCTCTCCCGGTGTATGACACTTCTACAATTAAACTCCAGTGTGTTATTCATTTCAGTATACCTTAACTTCATATTTTGTACAATGGCTTTATCTTAAGACTGACTTTTGTGAATGCACTTTGTGGCCTTTTTTGGGGGTAAGAGAGTTAGGAGAGAATTTCATGTTAAGACTTTAAAAATATATATTGGTCGTGTATTAGGCAGAAACAGTATGTTCATACATTTTTCAGGGTTCTGGTTATGTTTTTTTTTTTGAAGATCTTAAAACGTGTTAAGTATTCTGTGTACACTGTAGTGCCACACATTATGGAAAAGCAGCAAGTCATTGCAAGCTTTTTTTGCTGACACCAATGAACATAGTACCCTCTTAAATTTCCCCACCTTGATTTCCGTGTAATCAACAAAACTGGATGCTTTTGAGGTGCTCGGTTGGAATTTAAAATATTCCGATCTATTGGAGACCAAAGGCAAATTTAGTCATTATCTTTGGAATTATTAATATCTTTTATGATAAATTTCAGCTTTGAATTTATTGTGAGAGCATACCAAAAAAAAAAAATCCCTCCCCAAATGAGTTTCTAACTTCAGTCTGTAGAGAAGTCTGTAATGTTTGCCTTTTCAGGTGCCATTTATACTGCCTAATACAGTGCCATTTGCCTTGTGACGATCCATAAGTATTAATTGTGTTGAATGTAGGACACTCTCCCTAGTCTTACTCATCTCAGTGCAAGTAGAGCTTACATTGACCTTTAGTGCATTGTATTCAGCTTTTTTTTAAGTACAGTGGATCCTCCAGTTACAACCAGGCTGACATATGAACAACTTGGGTTATGACCAGAATTTTAGTTTTAACTTATGACCAAAGTCTTGAGTTATGACCCAATTGCTGCCGCTTGTGCTTTCAGAGGTCTCAGATACTGATTTAACCCCTAAAGAGTTCTGGAAGGAACATTACAACATCCTTTTCTGTGGAGTTAATTGAGAAATCCTGGGCCAGTGTCTCTCTAAGGACACTGAGATCTGCCTGTATACAGGAGAGAAAATTTGTAGCCTGTATAGAGGAGCCCGAGCCTTCATTGACCAACTTGAGTTACAGTTAGCCCTCAGGAACAAATTGATTTCATAAGTCAAGAGCCCACTGTGTTATGTATGTACTGGAAGGAAAAGAGATTTTAGAGTTTCAGATTTTATTTGTGCGGCAACTGGAAAGGAGCAGTGAAGTCTTTACTGGTTT